GTAGATGCAGCTTGTTTGGGTGGTGTTTTTTTATAATTTAAAACCAAATCTGCCCCATCCCCCAGCTGTTAGAGGTTGGAAATAATGAAGTCTTAACTCCTGACACTGGAATTGCAGAAATTTAAAAACCTGATAACCTTTCCACCCAACATTGTAAGTAGCTTTCAAGACTGAAATCTGCTGCTGGAGCTGCTCTTGTCTGCTGAGCCTGAGCCCCGGGCGGGTTTGTACAATAGGTTATGAACCCTCAGTAATAAGGATTTATAATGGCAATCCTGCTATATTCTTAATTATACTCCTGCTGCAGGGTGTCATTATAGTGCACTAATGCCCTCCATATGGCAGATAGTGTGCACTTGGTTCTGTGTGGTTTTATTTAATTACAGACCTTTATTTGAGTAACTTCGATGCTCAGTCTGAGGCCTGTGCAGGTGCACTGCAGGTTCTTTTCTTGGTGCTCAGGAATCACTGGTGATTTTAAAGCTGCCAGTTTGGTAAGGGGCCACAGAGGAAGCAGAAGACATCGACCCACACAAGGTGGGGAGGCCCTGACACAGAGAAGCTGTGGCTGCCCCTGGATCCCTGGAAGTGTCCAAGGCCAGGCTGGACAGGGCTTGGAGCAACCTGGGATAGTGAAAGGTGCCCCTGGCCATGGCAGTGAGTGGGACTGGATGAGCTTTAAGGTCCTTCCAACCCAGACTGTTTGAGGATTCTGTGATTTTAGTTCTCTCTGGGTGACCTTGCTGTGTCCTTGGCAGCCTCTGATGCTGCGTGCAGAGACTGAGAACAAACTTCTGCATTTGCATTGATGGTGACTGTAAGGTGAGGGCTTATGAAGCCCCTTTCAGAAAGCTCCAGGAGCATCAAGGTGCCTCCAGGACTGAGTGAGTGTCACCCTGACAGAGTTATGGTCAATCTGGTGCTGTCCAAATGAGGCTCCTACTCTGTGTGTGGGCAGACAGCCTGTGTTGTGTGAAGCTCTTAATTCCGGGGGCAAAAGCCCTGGGGCTGGTTTAATGGCTCTCAGTTCTGCCAGTGGATTCATTGACTTCAAACTTCAGCAGTGGCTTGGGGAAGAAAAGCTGGAGAGGTCAGTATGGACACCATGGCTTGGCATCCATCAGGGCAGGGTGTGGAACGGGGCTGGCTGTGGAGCAGAGCCTCTGTGTGCCCTTGGGGACAGGGCTGTCACTGCCCTCTACACAGGTGTGGGACCTGTCCCTGTGTGGGTCCCTGCAGCTCCTGCAGGCTGGGATCAGAGAACAGGAGACGTCCTGCATCCTGCCATGAGCACTGAGGTGGGGAATTACTGTGCAGGACTCCGGGGTGGAAATGCCTCCTGTCCTGCAGCAGGACAGACCTCGGCATGGCACGAGGCTGCCTTGGCCTCGCTGGCCTTCTGCAAACTAATGGCTCTTCCTCTGTTAGCAGAACTCTGCTCGGGCTGGTTTGTTTGGAGTCGGGTTCTGTTTTGGAGTCACTGGCCAGTTGCTATGTTCCCATGGCCGCCTGCCTGCCTGGAGAGCTCGCCCCAGCCCGGCTGCACTCTCGGCCACACCCAGCTCTTTTTTTGGGGGCATTTCTGTCTTTCACCAAATGTAGGCAAATGTGCAAATAGATCCGAGAGCTCCAATCCTGGTGAGTGCTCCACAGCTCCTTCCAGGCACATTCCTGCTGTGGGGTTAATGAGGGACACTCCCATCCTTGCAGCCTTTCCTTCTCCCAGAATACTTCAGCTGTGCAGGAGTTTCTCCTTCCCCGGTGGGGTTTGAGGGCTCACTGGCTCACCCTCACTATCCCTGCGTGGAGCCAGCTGCCCCTCTGCATCAGGGATAACAGATATGGTTGTATTAATTTAGAAGGGGGAAGCATTTTGTGGTTTTATTTCTGTGGCTGTAAAACAAGTAAACCATAGAATCCCCACCCCAAACCAACCCCACAGCACAATCAGAGATGGGCACTTGGTGCTTCAGTGGAAAAATACAGGTTAAGCCAAAACAAATCAGAACTGAGTGTTCAGGCTACAACTAAGTATGAGTTGCAGCGCTATATTTAAACATGGTATTTTTGTATTTTAATAATTAACCAGTGGGAAAGAGCAGCCTAAAAAACTCTAGCGTAGGCTATTTTCAAGGTATCTTCTCTTCAGCCCCATGTCCATGCTGGAGTGCAGCTGAGGAAAGGCTGCAGAGGATAGGGATGCTCTAAAGCAGTGGTTCCCTCTCCAGGCTTGTCCTTCCCCTCATTCTTCTCTTTGCAGCCTCCTAACAGTTAAATCAAGCTGGTCAGCCGTAAATCCATGTTTGAGGTGGTGTGTGAGTCTGTTTGAGGTGTTTGCATTTCATGGAGAGCCGAGGGCAGGCCAGGATTTCCCTTTGCATTAATGGTAATAGCTGGGACTGTGTGTAACCGTGACCAGCACTTGGCAGAGGAGGGCTGTGAAAGGTAATCCTCTGCCACGTGATTGTTTAATTTCCATTCAGTTTTATATAGCACAAGGCAATTCCCTGCTTTTGAGGAAAAGGTCGTGGGTGTTTCAGTGCTTCAGAGGCACCTGCAAGTCCTCAAGGCAGTGTTGGGACTGCAGAGCTGGCAGTGCTGGGGGCTGAGCATGGACAGCATCAAGTCTCTCTCAGATTAGGAGAGAGCAGCACAATGGAAACAAAGGAACTTGGCCTCAGAGTTAATTTGCAATTTGAATCCAGCTAGAGATTCCCAAAGTACAAGAGCAGCTCCAGCTCAGAGATGTACCTTGTCCCGAAGCTGATGGACACCAATCTGCAAAGTTTACTGTTCTTAAACTTTTGGAGTTTGAACTGAATTGACCTCAAGACCCAAATTGTGCAGCAATTGCTCAGGGTTGCAGCAGTGTCCCAGAAATCCTCTGCAGCTCGGGCTCGGTGCCTGTCCATGGAAGGGAGTAGAACAGCCAGGGCCCTTGGTGTTACCTGGGAATGGGGCTGGTTCTGCACCATCCCTGTATTTCCCTCCAGTCCTGCATGGCCATGATGTCCTGAGGGTGCTTGAGGGCACTCTGAAATGTGGAGGTTTTGCTGGAGAGTATTTGCTGCATTTGGGGTCAAAACCATCTGCTGTGGTGGTTCTTGTTGGAATGAATCCAGCAGTTCCAGCATCGGTCCTGGCTCCATCCAAGGGCTGAGGAGCAAAGAATGCTTTTGCCTTAGGACAGGATCCATGTGTCCACTGACTCCAAACCCCTCCTGGAGTTTCTTTCTAGATCATACTTCCCTTTTCTACTATATGTGCTGGGATTCTGATGGTTTTCCCAGGCTGATTTTCAAATCTCCCAGTAAATGGTCATTAACTGTATTTCAAGCCCAGTAGAGCTGCTCGTCCTCGTGGTTTTCCAGGTGCAGAGGACCTACATCCTTAATAGCTCTGTTCCAGCTCACAGGACTGCCTGGTCCCTGGGGACATTGAACACTGCAAATGCAGTACCCCTGCAGGAGGGGCTTCCTGGACATCTGCCTTGGCTGGAGCCTTGTAGGAGATTTTTTTTGTTTCACCAGAACTCCTCTGTGGTGGAGCTCAGCTCCAAACTGCCCCTGAGTGTGCATGGCAGTCAGATCCAGCTTCTCTCAGCATCCCCAGGAGCTCCTCACACCACTGGGGTGGTTGGGGACTCACCAAACACAGCATCACACTGGGAGCCAAGCAGGGCAGAGGCAGCCAGGGGTGAAGTCCAGGGAAACTTGGACTCCTTCCCCAAATATGTCCTTAAATGACCAGGAGAAAAAAAGTTGAATAAGAGTTGAGGTTTCTTCCCCCACTCTGTAGCCAGTCACTTTGCATTCAGCAGCAGCCATTCAGAAGTGCCTCACAGGAATGTTTGCTTGGGAGATTCCCTTTTGGGAGTCTTACTGGAGGCACTTTCTTCTTTCTTTTTTTTTTTTCTTTTAATTTTTAAATTTCTGCTCTGTTATAGAATGAAGACTGGGCTAAGCAACCAGCCCTGAGCCTCTTGAATGTGTTGCTCTTTGAGAAACAGTGGGGTTCAGTGCTGAGACCATTGAAGTGTCTGAACTGACCAATTGAGCTGCAATTTGTCAGGTCTTTCCTCTTACAAACTAACCTGGGAATTGTCAGTTCTCCCTCTGCACCACTGCACTGGAAACCTCGATTTACGAATTCTGCTCAAGAATTGCATGAAAAGTTTCTCTTCTCATTTAAGGAAGTCTCCTGAAGGTTCACTGGGAATTGCAACCTGCATAAATTTATTCTTTTGTGTGTATCGCAAATGCAGCCATTTCTATGCAGCTCTTTAGTGGACTCGGATCCATCCCAGCAGAGCTTGTACCTTTTCTCCCTCATTGCCTGAGGTTTACCTGGAGCTGTAGCCTGTGAATTGCTTGGTCAGAGATGGAGCTGTCTCCTGTCCCCTCTCCTGGGGTCTTTCAGGAGTTTTCCCCATGATGCTGCTATTCCAAACAATCTGTTTTCAAACCCTTTGGAAGCACTTGGTCTGGTGGGAGCAGAGCTCCGTGCAAAGGACTGGGAAATGTGGTGGTTTAAAAAAGAAATCAAGCCAAAACAAAAGTGCCCAACAAAACAGAGTGTGGGGAAGCTGAGCTCCCAGTCTGCTTGCTGGGGAAGAGTGGGTGACAGCATTGCTGCAGCTTCACTGCTGGTGTAAGGGGGCTGTGTGCTCTGCAGGGTGAGTGAAGAGGTTGGGGCTCCTTTCTTACCCTCAGACTGTGCTCCAGAGGGATGGTTTTGTTGAAGCTTTTTATTTCCAGGCACTAGCAAGTTGTGGAAGGGATGGCTCTGCAGAGTCTCAACCTCTACATGTCCTTTCTGAGCCATCCATCCCAGCAAAGACCTGGCAAGGTGTTCAGGATACCTCCTCTGGTTCAGAGATACCTTAACATCCTTTGCTGGATTTCTTCAGCTGTCACGTGGGAGGTGAAATCCTGGGCTGCTTTTACTTTTTCCTGAGGCTTTATGAATAATGCAAGACATGCTCTTTTTTTTATTTCCAGATTGAAAAGATCATGAGTTCCATCGGTGAAGGCATTGACTTTTCCCAGGAGCAGCACAGGATCTCAGGTAGAGTACCCAGCATGTGTCCATCTGTCCTGGCTGTGCTCTGCACACAAACAAGGTGCTGGCTCCTGTGTGTGGATGTCTTTCACCTGCTTTGACTCTGGGAGGGAGAGGAATGCTGTGGCACAGGAGAGCAGACCTGGGTTCCCACACGATGCTCAATGCTGCTGCCAGCAATTTTAATTCTACCCTCCTTGGGAAGATTGCTTTAAATTTGAAGAATGCAGCTGCAGGATTTTCCTCCCAGCTCTTTCCATGAGGGCAGCAGCTGTGCTGAGCAGGGCTGGATGGTGCCACTGGTGGGTCAGTGTGGGTGCCATGCTCGCTGTGCCCTTTGCATGTGGTTAATCTGCCAGAGGGTGATCCTGGGCATTTCTAAGTGCACCTGCGTGTGTTGATATCCACTGAACAAGGCTTCTGGAGGGCACTTAAAATGTGAATTCCCTTCTCTGCCTTTGAATTGTGAGCAAAAGCAGAACTGAAGCTTGCTGGAGAGCTGCCACCATGAGGGATTCTGTCCTTTTAAATCCTTCACCTCCAGGCTGCTGCAGCAGAACAGCTCTGACTCAGGATGGGCAGGAGCTCCTCCTGATGAGATGCTAATGCAGATCCACACATGCAGCTCACAGGGGCTGTGACAGAGCTCACCTCATATCCATTTGTCACTCAGGTTTTTGCTTAGGTGAGGAGGAACCCACTGTTCCCAGTGGGAGTTTAGCCTGATTCAGGCTCTGCTTTCCAGGGTGGCTTTGCAGAGGAGGTGAAGCTCTGGGTGGGTTTGTGTTCCCTGCTCTGACAGCCCTCGACAGCTCTGGGCTGTGATGGATTGATAGCACCAGGGAAAGGTCTGACATGGAGGAGAGAGCAAGAGCCAGTGCTCCTGCAGACCTGCAGCTGTGCAGGGAGCTCTCAGCAAGATGGAAACCCTGGAGCAGGTGGACACAGGAGCTGCTGTGTCCTGGAGCTGGGGCTTTTCCCACAGGCTGTGCTCTGTCACTCTCAGTTTGGGATCCCTCGTGGGCAGACCTTCTGGGCACATTCCCTGTTTGTGCCTCCTTTCCCTGGAGCAAGCAGAGCTCTGCCAGCCTCTGGCTGGGAGCTCTCACACATTTGGCTTTTCCTCCACAGGGCTTTGTGGGACTGTTGTTATGCTTCAGGTCATGGTGAATGTGCATGGGAACTGCAGGGAGCTCCCCAAATGCTCTCTCATCCTTAAAATGAGTGAGGTTTGATGATATTGAGGCTTGTGACTAGCTTGGGGTCTGGAAAGGTGAAATGCCTTGTTGGCAGTTCCTGTAGGGATAAGTGTGTTTGGAGCTGGCTGTATGAGCAGTTACTCTGTACCACTGCCTTGTGTCTGGATAAGAGCTGCCTAGGCCTTCTTGGAACTTGGGCAGTCAAGGAACACCATCATTTCAGGGATACCAAACTCCACCTGCCCTCTTTCTTAAGGGACTTTGGCCTTGGAACAGACATTTGTGTCTCTCTGCACCAAATTTCCACGAGCAAGTGGGGTGATGTTGGTCCAGCATAGCTCACGCACGATTTCATCCTCCAGACAAATGCAAACGTCACACTAAAGATTGTTACTGAAACAATAACACCTGAAAGCCCCTCCTGAACCCTGGCAGCCTCTTCCTCTCTGTGCTGTGGGACTTGAGAAGAGCCTTGCAGGAAGCACCACAGCTTTGGGAATACACTCATCATTCCAGCTCTGCCAGCTGCAGGCCTCTCAAAGGCAGCATTCCCAGAATGTGGAGCATAAAGAGAAGGATAGAGCTGAGAAATATGAATTTGTTTCAGTCAGAAGTTGTGATCAAGATCTTGCCAGGGGCACAAGTTCTGTGATTATTCTATTCTGTTCTTGTACCATCCTTGTAACACAGAGATATCAGGTGTACTTTAGTTTTAGGCATCTTAGATTTCAGCCTGGGATGTTTTAGGTGTGGGTTCTTCTCTTTTTAAAGGAAACTCCTCCATTCCCTCCATCCAAATACTTCACTCTCTTCATTTTGTCATGACTTGAAAGGGTTTTGTAAACAGAAAGCCTGCAGTTGGTATCGCTGTAGGTTTCCCTTTTAAAAGCAGAAATGTATTTAGAAGTGCATGCAGGGCTGAAGAGAGTAAGTAATTTCAAAAATTAAATTCAGGAGCCCAGCTGTGGTTTCATTCCCCCTCCCAATACCCCGACAGCTCTCAGGAATACTGTGGTAGGCAGCAGGCACTTCCTCACCTCTCTCTTGATAAATTAATTCTGAGCCAGCCACAAATCACTTGGATCTGTCGAAGCAGACCTGTGACATCATTTTTTAAAACCCCCAAGCCATGTTGTCCATCATCGAGTAAATATTGAGGAGTCAGTGATTTCCACTGGAGAGTTACGGAGCTGCTGCCTCCCTCCCGGGCGGGTGGGAGCACTGGGAGGGGGGAGAGGATGAGGAGAAGGGAGGGACAGCGTGGAGCGTGGGGCTCGCGGCTCAGACAAAGCCGCCGCAGCCGCCGGCGGAGCGCAGGGACCGGCGGGGGAAAGGATGCAGGGGAGGATGGAGAGGATGGAGAGCTGGCGAGCGGGAGCTCCTGGCTCACAGTCCGGGCTTAGCTGCTGCCCCGGAGCATGGGCTGGCTCAGGGAAGGGAGGCAGAAGCCTTTTGTGATCTCGGCGTTGCCGCGTGCGCTGGAAGGACCGGCCGGCGCTCCCAAATACCGGCACAGGAGCAACCCCCGGGAGCAGACAGCAGGAATTACCCCAGGAATCTGCAGATAACACCGTGAGCTCTGTGTGTGCAGCCATTGCAGCACAGTGGGGAGGGATGGCTGGAAGGTACCAAACTGCTTCAGCTGACCTGGAGGTTCAAAGGAAGCAAACGGGGGTCTCCCGATCATCCTTTTCTTTGCATCCGTGCTGGAAACAGGCATGCCAGGAAGCCTGAAAATCTGCCTGTCTTGCATAGCAAATTCCCTGATGAGAAGGAGATCTCTGAACTTTTTTTTGGTCGTACTTAAGGTTTTGAGCTTTACTAGAGGAGAGTAACAAGTCATTGGATTCATCCCAGATGTGAGGGAAGGGAGAGCTCATCTGCCAGAGCTTCCGTAGGTGTTGGGAGGAATCTCCTTTATCAGAGGCTGAAGGGGAGGTGCCAGGGCATGGCTCGGACTTGAGCTGCTGCAGGAAGAGGAGAGAGTGTGCTTGCATTTGCTTTTTTTCTTTTGCCGTGGTTGGGAAGCAGGGAACCGAAATGCCTCCTTCCTGCAGAGCTGCTCCCTGGCTGAGTGAGGGGCTCGATCCAGCGGCTGTGCTCGGCTGAAGAAAATGAAGGAAGGGCAAATCCAGGTGCGTGCCCAACACCTGGCAGGACCAGCAGTGTTGGGTGAGAACTGTCCTGGCTGTGCTGTCACACAGTGCAGCGGTGGGGCTGGGCTCTCTGTGGCCAGCGTGCTGGAATGCCAAGAGGTCCAGGGAGTGTGCTGGAATGCCAAGTGACCGGATCGCCTGTAGAATGACAGAGCCAGGGCTGCCGGATGTGTGCCTGGGGTGCCCATAACACAGTAACGGCGAGAAGAAACCCCTGCCATGGTTTGCTTCTCTCAGGACTGCTGGGGACGAAGAGCACAAGCCCTTCCTCTCCGCTGCTGCAGTCTGTGCTTCCTTTGTCTTGCGTGTCTTCCCGCGGACAGCCGCTCTGCCTGGGCTCCTGCTGCTTTCCCGAGCATCCGCCGTGTCCGACCTGGCTCGGCTGCATGAAGCTGTTTTCTCTCAGGCTGCTCCGTGCTCCCCGCTGAGCCAGGGCTGTGTCCAGAGGTGCGTGGATGAGAGGACTGGCACAGCTCTGCTCCCTTCCCTCACACCTGTGACTGCCTGGGAATGCCTCGGATGGAAGTTTGCTGCTCTCCTCCCGCCCCCTTCCGCTGAGCCAAGGAGTGGATCCGCATCCCCGTGGGGTTGGGCTTCATGTGCTTGCCTGGCGAGGAACTCGCGAGCCCTGACAGCAGTGCCTGTGATCTCAGCGCCCCGGCAGCGCCTCTGAATCTTTGCCCGGGAGAGGAGTTTCTTTTCTGAGTGTGAACTGCTGTACAGATTTGCACCCGGAGCCCACGGAGGCACTGCGAGCTTGTTGTCCATGCTCTGTGCACACAAGAGGAATTGTCTGCCCGCTGATTTGTTGTACTCTGAGCATAATTTTTTGAGTTTCCTTATGGTAATGACTATGATGTGGCAATGCCATCTGTCCTCCTCAGAGTGCCGCTGCTACCGCCTGAACGGTTTCTCCCTGTTCAAGCGGCTGCCGATTCCTCTCTCGTCAGGTTCGCGGATGCTGGAGCAGAGCGTTGGGGAGTGGCTGGAGTCCATCGGCCTGCAGCAGTACGAGAGCAAGCTGCTCCTGAACGGCTTCGACGATGTTCGCTTCCTGGTGAGTGCCTGGCAGGGATCCTGGGCTCCAGGGAATGGGTTGGCCAAAGGTTCCCATGTTACCAATGCCCTGTGTGGGCGCCGGGCACAGCCGGGTTCTCCCGCCCGGCACGACGGTCTTGGTTGGGCAGAAGGAATAGATGAGGGTTATTGGTTTTCTCGCTAAAATTTTGGTAGAAAATTTTATTTTATCTGCCCTCTAAATCTTTATTATCCAATTTACTCCAGAAACGGGAACTGAAATTCGCTGGTGTTTTGATGAAGCCCCTGAGCTGTCTGTGCTCTGGGCTGTGAAGGAGGCAGCAGACCTCTTGTTGGAACTGTACTTGCTCAGAGCATGCAGGCAGTATGCTAATGAGCTGTACCTAATTGCACTGACACTGTTGGCTCTGAAACCTAATGATGGTGACACGGTAATGCTCAGGGTTGAGGGGTTTTAATAACCAGTGTCTAGAAACTTAAAGCAGCATGGTGTAAAAATCTGAGAATTTGTGGGGAATGATGGATGAACTGCAAAGAGGGAAAATTGTGGTGCTGCAGGAGAGGTTTTCCCTGCATGGCTTAAAGAAATGCTTTTGAACGTGGGCTCCAAGTTTGGCAAATAACAAAAAAATGGACGTAAACCTTTGGAAAAGTCATTTTGGCTAATGCAGCATCCTGCCTTGGAACGGGAGTGGTGACATCTCTGGTGCTGAGGACAGTGCAGAGAGGTGACACCAGGAGGATGTGAGCTGGGTGAGGGGTTTTGGGAGCACACAGTGGCCATCACTGGTGGGGAGGGTGTGAGGGGCAGCTGGAGAGAGACAGGAAGCCAGGGAAGGGCGAGGATGGAGGCTCAAGGAAGCACACACCTGAGCAGCATCTGCTGGGCTACTTAAAGCATAATTACACCCTGCCTTTAAAAAATTACCTGACCAGGAGGATAAATGTTGTGGTATCTATCCAGCTGTGCCTCCTGGTCTCCACAGCAAGCAGCCAGGCCGTTTGCTTTCCCTTCCCCTGGCAGGGCCAACACTCCCCTCCAGAGCTGGGGTTTGCTGTGGGTTTCACCCCGTGTCCCACCTGCCCAGTCCCAAAACCCAGTGGACTCTTGGCCAGGGATGTGTGAGGGTTCAGCATCCCTGTGTGTGCTGGAGCTGTTTGGAGATGGTACAACAAATTTAAATGAAATAACCTTGTAGATCCTCTTGGGATCCCCTGCTGATGGATCTGTGATCATTGTGGTGTCAGTGGCTGCTCTCACCCAGCAGTTACAGATAAAACACCTTTCCCTTGCCTGGCCAGGTGTGATGGACCTCACTCAGCTCAGAACTTCAGTAGCAAAGGTTCCTGTGTGTGTCCCTCAGTGTGTGTGGTGGTTTGGTACATGGTAGGCTTTGCTGTCTTCATGGCTGGACGATTTTCTTCCCTGTCCAGTGCTGGGTGGCTGCTCCCATTGCAGCAGTTGGCTGCTGCTGGATCCAGGGGATGGGACAGTCATTTTCTCATTCCTCTTAAATTTAAAAGGTCAAATAATTTCACTAAGATTTCCTGCAAACCCCAGCTGATTTCCATTTTGCTGCTTATCTCCTTTCCTAGGAAGTTGACCCTGGCACCCGTGCCAACCCTGGCTTTAAATCCATTCATCCTAGCCCTGAGAACTCCAAGCTAATACATCAGCTCAGCAGGAAAGTTGAATTATTTAGAATCTTTCCTTCTGTGGTGTTCCTTGCCTTCAGCTTCTGGTGTTGGGGGAGCAAAACCTTCAGATAGAGCACAAGTGAGGAACAAGTAGTTAATTTGGATCTAGTGGTGTTTTTGATGTTCTTGGATGAATTATTAAAACTGTTGTGAACACTGAAGCTGGGCAGAGCAGAGGCTCAGGACACTGAGCTCTGAGTGTTGGGCTGCCCAGTCCTCTTCTTTGCACAACCATTGCTTTATTGGCTGCCCCTTCCAGTTTCTAACAGAGAATATTCCAAGCTAAAAGTGCTACTTTCCTGAAATTAAACAGTTTCTGTGAAAGGCTTAGTCCCTCTTAGGGCCTCACTGTGTTCAATATTTCAAGGTCCAAAGAACGCCGGGTAATGGTTTGCAAATCGCCAGGTGGGTTATGAGGTTAATTAAGTTTTAGTAGCCCAAACTAGGAAATTGGAGTCCTTTGATATGAAAACACATTTTTTCTGTGCAGGGTTGTGGATTGCATTGCTCCCTGCTCAGACACCTGCAGGGTGCCAGGATGGTCCCTTTGCTCCAGGGTCACCAGGTGCCTTTTGAGGGGGAAACCCAGGAGCTTTGCAGGAGAAGAGTGTTCAGTGTGCAGAAATTGTGCAGCTACAGAGCAGGGCAGTGTCCTAAAAGAACCATTAATTACTGAGGAAGATACTCAGCCTGTAGTAAATAGCAACTCAGAGGAAGGTTAAGAACAGTCTAAGAAGGAGTGTATCCTGTCCCTGCAGCAGGGACCTGTCAGAGCTGGTGTGTGCAGGCACTGGAGTGCTTGGTGCTGTTCTTCACTGGAGAACCAGGGTTTAAAGTTTACTCTTTGCCCCCTGTGTGTCTCTTTTGTAAGAGACACAAACAAGGGGTGCTGGTCTTGCTGGTGTTTTGGTGGCCTGTACTGCAGCCGGGTCTGATTTCAGGAATTTTTGATTCCCTGGGTATTTTCAGCTGGCTCCTGTGTTAATCTATGCCCCATGTCACAAGAGCTTTTACCCCCAGGTAGGGAAATGATTCATGAGCACACTGTGTGTAAAGGGAGTTTGAAAAGTGCTCTGTAAATATATTTGGCTTCTTAATTAGATGTTAATATAGGAAGGCAGAAACATGTGTTGTTTCCAAAAATAATAATTCCGTTATTTTCAGAACTCCAGGAACTGGGGATTAGGGGATTAGCTGTGCTCCAGCCACGTGCCGGCCTCACTGGACAGGCTGCAGCTGGAGTGGGCAGCAGGGAGGGGATGAGGGTCCTGCTCCTCTTGGGATCTGCTGACCAACAGCTGAGAGGGGCTCGGGTGACCCACGGCTCCTGCAGGTGACAGTGGGATCCATGAGTGGCTCACAGGCTGTGCTGTGGAAGGGAAAGGTGCTCTGGAGCCTCCTCTCTGCTCCTGGGAATTCCAGCTCTGCATCTGGGACAAAGTTGATCTTGATGAAGCATTGGCTGCTCTCGGGGTGGGTATCACTGGCACAAGTCAGCAGGATTATTGGGACATGGATGTGACGTGACATTGGAGCGTACGTGTTCCTGGGAAGGGACCAAGGTCTGCACAGATCTTGGATTGTGTAATCTTCTGGCTTGATTGAGGGAAGAAAAGGGTGATAAAAGATGGATTTAGGGTAGCTTAGCTTTACAAAACACTGAGTTTTCTTCCCACATCTGCATATTGGGCCACATCTCTGTGTCTGCAGAAATTCTTCTACTCCCTTCAGGTTGCCTACAGTAGCCACACCTTGTTTATGGGCATGGCAAAGAGGCTTTCCCTGTTGTTCTGCCACTCTCGAGCACAAACCCCACTGTCCAGGACAGCAGCTTCCTTCCCTCACCTTCTGCATTGCCACCAAGTGACCTTCATGGCCAGCACCACTGCCACGGGGCAGTCAGACTGGGACACTCAGCTGCTGCTTTTCTTATGGAGCTGGAATTGGGCAGCAGCCTGTGCTGGCAGCTGGGATTAGGAACAGCTTAAATGGAGATAGTGCTTCCAATCCTCCTGCTCTGCTCCACAGCCCGCTGGGATTCCTTCATCAGAGGGGAAAGTTTATTTGTGCAGTGGGTGAACACAAGCGAGGCAAAGCTGCTGGCAGTGGCTGTGCTGTCCTTGACTTAGCAAAAATACAGCTTTGCAAGTAGGATAAAAGCCTCAGCAGCATTGCCTGCCAAATGTGAACAGCTCCAGTGAAGCAGGAATGCCCACCCCAGCACCCGGGAGGAGCAGCACTGCTGCCTCCCACGTGGAGGAGCGAGTTCCTGGAGCCTCGTTGCCTCATCCCTCACCAGAGGAGGGGAATGAAAGGTCAGATCGCAACAGCAGTGAGTGAGAAGTGTCATCCAGAAAAGTGCACAATAAATGCATTTAATTGTCCTTGGTGGGCAATGAGCTGGGGAGCTGGGAGAGCAGGAAAAATGTCACCGGAATATGGACCAAGAGGGGATTGTGCTGCTCCTGGAGCTTGGCCCCGTCGTGTCTGCTGTGCTCACCAGAGAATCTGCCACAGATGCCCCTCGTGGGAAGTCCATAGAAAATGAATTTTGGGATGGCCAGTGCATTCCTGGTCTCTGCAGCAAACAGGGATTAACCCAGGGAAACAGCAGGCTGGACTTTGCCCGTCTGGAGAGGGCAAGGACGTGACCACTGTAATGAGAAGGAATTGCAGTAATTGATGGTGGAATTCCTCCACAGACGTGGGGAAGGAAATGCCATTACCTGTTCCCTCACACGGTGTTTTGTGATCCCACAGATCCCATAAATGTACCCGAGATGCTTGCAAAAGCTTTCCCCTTCCCCTGGAGGGCGGGATCTTGCTGCTGCCCCGACAGCTTCCTCTGGGCTGACATCTGAGAAGGGCAAACCCCGCGTGCTCTGGCAGTTGTACCAGTGTTCTGGAGTTGAACTTTTTATTCAGTTCAAAGATATTTTCATTCACAAATGAGCAGGTAAAAGAGAACATAAACCATTTTTATGGCTTTTTTTTATTGTTCAAGCCTGGATTCCCATGGAGTGTGTGGAAAGCAGCTAATGCTGATTCAATGAGACAGCGTCAGAAAGGGAAATCTGTTCTCTGTGTGTAGTGCCCTGGGCTCCTCTGGGGGATTTTATTTATTTTTTTATAATTGGGGAGAAGTGGTAGAAAAATGATGGTGGTGGAAGAATGGGGTGTCTGCAAATAATTTAGAGTAGTGACATTAATTTGATTAAATGCAATTCAGGGCCATGTTAGATTAGCCTGCGGTGTTGTTCACAAATGGAACAGCCTTTCCTTCCTCTTCTCCTCTCTGTGTGTGCAGGCAAAACCAGGATA